GGTTTTGCGGGAAAGCTATCACGCCTACAGTTTTTAAAGGGAGATAATGAGCTTTCTTTTTTCTTAAATAAAAATTACTCGACATCTATACTATTTCTACTGTAGTTTCTATAAAATATGAAAATTTCCTAGCACATTTTCGTATCGTTATGCGCCAAACTCCATATAGAAGCGGACATTGGGGTTCAGATTGTTATTATGAGTAAAATATAAGTCATTTTCTTCATTAAACGGTTGTTTCTCTATGCGGCGATCATTTATGAAGCACGCCACACTTAGTTACCAACGAGCGATATCATAATAGCTCCATTTTTGGCAGTATACTGGCTGCGGCCGAGTGCGACGGTGGCGCCGACTATCGGCTACTCGTGCAACTAGGCCTCGCGGTGGCTCCGGCGGCCAAACTTCAGATGAAAACGTCCCTGTGTGGAGACTTAACGATAAACTGAAAAATGCGATATAATGCAATTAAATTCAGTAATATGCGTTTACCCTGACGTATTTTTTACCAATATTCGGGGAGAATTGGCACCGGGATTTGGCAGGAGAAGATAAAATGTTTATGAACATTCCAAATTGTATTATACCTACATTGCATTGTCAAAATATGTCTCAATATATGCGAGACGTCATGCTGTTTGCCGTAGTATAGCGAAATTGTTTCATGAAAGACTCAATACAAATATAACGGGAGTGATGTATCTTAATTTCATTTGGTGGTGCAAATATTTTTTTCTTCCATGTCCCGATCCCGGGTCGAATTTTTCTCTCCTATGGATAAAAAGTGCAGAGATGTGTTGCTCAGTTAGTGAGCTACAGCGTAGTATAGCGACTTTTTTATGTAAGCTGCCTATTTTTTCATACTGTGCTAGTTTCCACGAAAATCCGTGCATATTCTGACCAATATTTTTTTTTTCTTCCATGGCCAGATCCCAGGTCCAATTTTTATCCGCTATGGATAAAAAATGCATAAATATGTTGCTCAGATGGTAATCTACAGCGTAGTATAGCGACATTTTTATGTAACTACCCTATTTTTTCATACTGTGCTCATTTCCACGAAAATCCGTGCTTACGCTGACCAACATTTTTCTCTTCCATGGCCAGATCCCAGTTCCAATTTTTATCCGTCATGGATAACAAATACATAGATATGTTGCTCAGATAGCGAACTACAACGTAGTATAGCGACATTTTTATGTAACTTCCCTATTTTCTCACACTGTGCTCATTACCACGAAAATCCGTGCTTACACTGACCAACATTTTTTTCTTCCATGGCCAGATCCCGGGTCCAATTTTTATCCGCCATGGATAACAATACATAAATATGTCGCTCAGATGGTGAACTATACCGTAGTATAGCGACATTTTCATGTAACTTTCCTATTTTTTCACACTGCGCTATCACCCATCAAAATCCGTGCTCTCACCGACCTTAGTTCTCTGGCGTTGCCGATAGGCGGCGCTGGCGTCGCGTCCCGCGCTATGGCCGCGCCTGGCGCATAACGTGTGAAAAAGGTTTTTATTTTTGCAAAAAAGAAGCAGTACTTGCAGTACTTGTAACACCCACCGAAATGCGTTGTCCTTCTCTATAAAAAAGTCGCAGTATATGGCGCTTTTGTTTCAAACAGCGACGCTTGGGTTTTTGTTTAGGTATGTTATCGCCTTGTCGTTGCTTGGTTGTAAGGATTCTAATTTGAATTAGAGTTAATTCGGTTTAGAATTAATTAGATTCTAATTCGGGGGTACATAGTGCCTATTCTTCTTTGTTTCCAACATTATTTTGCGCCACAAATGAACGGCATGCGCCAGAAACGCAGCCAAATCTTGCGATTGCGACTACGAAATTCATTATTTTGGCCTCAGAGCCTGAAGCGAAAAATACAAGCATATTTATTTCAAAAAGACTTCAGGTTTGTCGAACGGTGTTATGAGAATTTTGATAACAGTACTGCATAAGTTTTTCAGTGATGCCGCAAAAGTGTTGTATCTATCTTCTTTTATTGTGCAGTCGGCGGGACCGATTCAAAATTGAGTCGTTGCTACTAAAATAGCAGCATATGGCGACAGATGATGAACAGGAAAAATAGTTGCGTAAATTTAGACATAAACCACCCCCAAACCATGAATATCTTTTGAAGGCACTATAGACGACCATTAACTCTGCTTACGTATGTCGTCACTTTTATTTGGGTTCGTTTGCTTATTTTTTTCTTTTCTTTTTTGCTTTGTTTGGTTTTGTGTTTTGTGTTTTTTGTTAAAAGGTCTGTTAGTAAAGCTGTTAAGCTATGTGTGTCATATTATGTTGTAATTTTGTATGTAATGTTTGTGTGCGTTTGTTTTGCGTGGTTAATGGTGGTCAAATGATCAAATAAATGGCTAGAAGTTGAAAAAAAAGACGGAAAAAAAACGACCATTAACTAACTAGATGTGATGAAGATCAAATGTAATGAATACGCTCATTTTACAAAATTACATGCAAGTACCAAAAAGTGATGTAAGTACTTATTCAACGGTCATTTTCAGCGCTCCCCGCTAACGTGACTTCAAGTTGAGATATTTGCGGCAAGGTGCCGAATTGAGCAAAATGGTTTTAATTTACATTATAACTTGTTGTGTTTTGTCAGAAAATGGTCCTAACTCAGATTTTGTGGAAAAAGGTCATAATCTCCCTTTAAGATGGAGGAAAATGTTCAAAATAAAAAATGTGTAAGATTAACAGGGCTATAAACTGCTATCACGGATTTTTGAAAATTTTGGTTTTGACCCCCAAAACTAAAAGTGAATTTTTAGATATAATGCCGCAAAAATCCCATTTTTTCAAAATTTTGAAAAAAAAAAACGGAATATATGATTAAAAAACTGTTAGTCTGCTATTGACATGCCAAATTTGAGCACGATAGCTTCATTTTTGGCAAAGTTCTTCCAAAGTCTATAGACAATATGTATTGTGACAATATATACTATGTATAAGCTATAACCACGGGATATTGACAATATTTAGATCATATATAATCTATTGACAATATGTAGACAACTAGACACACACTTCAAAAAGTAAAAACAACGACCTCGCGCCGACCAACCGCCATCCACACCTCACCAATGCAAAAGACATCTATAATCAGGCACGTAGCCAGGATTTTGCTCAGGGAGGGGCCACAGGTCGCGGCCAAGGGTCGTACCCCCTCCAAAAAAGAAAACTCCTCCTCGGATTTGGCTCATCATTTTTGGGGGTGTGGTGCAGCTATTTTCATTTATTTTATTTTTGCTGAATTTTGTTTTATTTTTCGCTTTCAGGGGGGGGGGGGGTGGCATGCCCGTGGCTACGTCCCTGTCCATAATGTCCAATGGCGAAGGAACCTTGCTGCTGCTTTAGGTTTACTTTTAGTTATACCTACAATTCATCGCAAAGTTAGTCCTACCTTTATTCAGTTAACTCGGCGGCTACTGAGCCGCCGGCTCATAACCAGACAGATATGCAGGGTGTTTCATAAATAACGTTACACACTAAAAACGCTACATCTCCTGACAAAATGCCGGTATATATTGGTATGAAAATTTCACACAAAACTTGGAAGACCAGCCACCACAACACTTTAGAGATCTACTTGAAATGGCCGCCTGCAGGCTGCAGCCCGCACACTGGCAGCTAACCTCCTCTTGAAGCCCCTGATAGTGGCGCGCACCACTGTGTACGGGCATCTTTGGCCACTCATTATCGTTTTGAACGGCTTCATCTTGAAATCGTTTCTCACCAGCCTCATCTTATCATCAGCCTTTCTCATCGTAGCGTGAGGCATGTGGCGTTCTCTGGCCATCTTTCTCATCGATATTTTCGCATTTCTTCTGATCTTCTGTCGGATCTTTTTGATGGCGCCGAGTGTTCTCCTAAGTCGCCGTTTACTGCCTTTTCCGTTGGGATCTTCTGTGGTGACCGACTTCTTGAAACGGTCAAAAGTCCTTGCATTCGGTTGAGTTCCAAACCTTTTCCAGCTTCCAAAGTTTTCCTTGGTGTTTTGCATTTCGAAAAATGACCGAACATTAAATCTTTTTTCAGCTGTTCATTATGCTGTTGATAGCCAGTTTATTCAGTTTGCTCGTTCCAATGGTGCTTGATTTTATGAAAAAACGACCTCCAAGTTTGCCAATATTGGATGGGAACTCTTGTGACGGTAATTATGAAACACCCTGTAGATGAGCTCGGCAAACTCGGTGATGTCTATATGCAAGTCATTAATGTCTGTGTAAGTCGTCGGCTCGCATGAAGAAGCGGGGCACTGCTCTAGGCATCCAGTGCATGACCGCTTGGTTTCCGCTCGGTAGTCAAAAGCCTCTAAATTCTTTATTTTATCAGAGGATGCAATGGCATTTGGCACCCTCGCATATTGGGCCACACGGCCGGGAGGTGTCGGGCTCCGTCACTCAGTCCCGTCACCATGGATCGGTCAGCTGGTCGCTGCCGTGAAAGATAGTATGAGAAAAGTGATGAAAGTGTCATCGCCATCCGCCGCTTTTTACAAGTTATTCGTGAAAATCCGAGGGGTACACATGCATATCCGTCCTCTCCGCAGTCCGCTATGAATAAATGAATCTCTTTGGAAAAGTCTTCAGCAATAAAGAATCCGTCGTATTGTTTGTCGTACTTGCACCATCTTCCCTGATATGAAACGGCTGCATTGATGCCATTCACTGTTTTATATATCTGTCCTACTCGAAATTGCAACTGTCCTGCTCGACAAAGATTGCAATGATTGTTGACTGCTCTTCAATTCTGCTGCACCGCCCACCCGGCAGAGTTTCGGCCCACGCGGCGCCCCATCTGCCGCTGCCCGCCGCCGCCCCGCCTCAGGTGGTGCCCCAATGGCAGGCCGCCCCGTGTCGGCTCACCTGCCCCCTCCCCCAGCCCCCGGGGCGCTGCACATGCGCCCCTGTGGCTGCCGGCGCATGCGCAGTGCGCCGCGGGCCAGCTGGCCGCGTCCTGTTACACGTGGGGCCGCGCAGTCGCCGCCGGCGTCCGCTCAGCAGTTCCACACCGCCCCGCCGCGCTCCCCGCCGCCTCTCTCCTGCTGCAGCTGCCGTGGTGTTTGTGAACAGAAAATGATGCTGATGCCCGGCGCCAGCCCGTACTCGCTACCGTCCGCTCTGGCGGCCACCGGCAGCCCTGCGCTGGCGGACTCGCCCGGCGTCTCACAAAAGGACACCACCTTCACCAAGATCTTCGTAGGCGGCCTGCCGTACCACACCACCGACAAGTCGCTACGTGAACACTTCGAGGTCTACGGAGAGATCGAGGAAGCCGTCGTCATCACCGACCGCCAGTCCGGCAAGAGCCGGGGCTACGGATTCGTAAGTGTGACGCTTGCTCTTTCGCTTCTTTGTGTCTGTTCAGTGTTTGCGTTGGTGTGAGTCCCCCTCCCCCCTAACGCGGCAGGTTTCTCAGATTTCAGACGCGCAGGAGGTGCCGCAAAGGGGAGAGGGGAGGAGGGGCCACCACGACTTTTTGCAGGAGCGCTGTGGCTGGTTGTCTGCCCCTCGTTGCTACTGCCTGTGACCCACGGCGTGGGGCACTGGCGTTTGTAACCCACTGGCTGGTGTGGTGTCCTGGTCTGTAAAGGTCAGCGATGACGGGCCTCCTGCCCCATCTATGACAGTTCTCTCTACCCGGCGTAGACAACAGTCAACACGAACCCCTGCCCTTCAGTTTGCCTAGCTCGGGTGGGTCCAGACTCCAGCCTCGCGATAAGATAACGCCTCGGAGGCGCCGTCACCTCCCTCCCGTCCCCCTTTGCCGATGTTTGGCGGGCCGCCGGGCCCGCGCGATACCGCCTCGGCTCGTGTTTGCGCGTCCTACGGCTCGCTGGGTGCCGCTGTGGTGAATCTCGAGCCAGGTGCGCGGTCTCAGGCCCGGCAGGCGAGCGTCAGGGCGCCCTCCCGAACGCCGACCGCGCCGGCGCCGGGCCCAGAGTTTCGGTCGGGCTTCCCGGGTTGGTGGGGACTGGGACTGTTTCTATGACTGTCCCGTAGGATGGTAGACTGGTGTTGCTGTTGGGAATGAACCCCAGATGTGTCACCAACTGGCAGGATTCTTGTCCTAACTTTCATTGCTTGCTGGAAGATACTTGATAGGAAGATTTCGAAAATAAGAATTTCGAAACAAGCAGATGTTATTATGATTCACGTATTTTTTTTTCAAATCCCAAGAGCAGCCAAGTTAATTCAAATAACCAGCAGCTACTTTTAATCTCCTTACATTTGTTTTAGTTTGGGGCTGCTCTTTACGTGCATTTTGATTAAATACCCCCGCGGTACCCCGCGTTTCCTGTTCTGAATCGCGAAATGCGGTCTGGATAAAATTTATGAAAAGTATGAAAAAAGAAAAGTATATTTTCAACCGCAAAATCGGGCTCTGGATACGTTTCTGGAACACATTTCATATCTATCACTCGGTCGCACTTCCTGCACGGGCCGCGTAGCCGCACGTGCCGACTGTACCGTCTCTTCACCCCTGACCAAAAACGCTCCGACCGGCCCCGATGCACCGTGATAGAGCAGGCGGCGGCGGCGCGGCGGCGGGCACAGAGAGGGGCGCACGACTGCTGCGGGTCCCAACAGCTGTGTCCCAGCTGCTGGCGCACAGTGGGCTACAGCTGATGTCACCAGCCAGCGCCGGTATCAACACATCAGCATAACCAGCTGTGTGGCATTGTCGGTATCGACGGCACGAGCTGTTAGAGGTGCGTGAGTCGACCGAGGAGGCGTGACACCGGAGAGGGCCTGTTTGAAGGGCTTTGGTATGAGATATAAATCATCACCAGTGAAGAATTAAATTAAATCGATCAAAACTTTTTACAGCGAAGTTCTTGACCTTGTTAAATGGATTTAAAAGGCACCACTGGCGAAGATTTGAATATCAATTTTTGGAACGCGAAAGGTTTTCGGTTGTAGTTTTATTTTTCTAAATGACGCAGCAATGAGTGACTGTACTTATTTGCCCGGCTTTTAGTTCCATATGCATATCTACGTATGTGAGAATCTCCTGCACATTTATTCAGGCATTCTAAAACTTATTTGATGATTTATTTGTAAACATAATTGAAGCAAGTATCCGCACTCCATTTTATATCATATATCCGTTAAAATGAGAATATGGCACGTTGGAATTTTCACGTAATTATTCTATAACAAGCAACAAACCGAGCTAGAGGCATTAGAAAGGCGTATTCCACTTGTCCAACTCGCCCTCGGCCTCCTTCCGTTTCGCGGGCCCTTCTGTCCTCCACCGCTCGTGCTGCAGCTGTCCCAACACTTCACCTGCGCGGCTCGCCCCTGTCCCCATCTGTGCCAGCCCAGGTGCCGATCCCACATCCCACCACAGGGCACTGGGGTTCCCCACCTGTGGCAATGTCACCCCTGGTCGCCACGAGGTACTGTCACCCTCAGAGGTCGTCCTGGCTCCAACTCGGTCTATGTAGTTCCAGTTTCTGCCACCACTGATCTCACGGGTTTTATCATTGGGCTCCGATTTTGCCCTCCCCAAAGTGTAGAAGGGTCTCACCCTTGTTGATTCTCTCCAGGTCCTGATCTCCCTATCCCCTCTCCCAGTCTCTCTCCCTCTCCCACGTCCCGGATGGCTCACCTCTGACCCACGGCTCTGACCCATGGCTCCCGTGTCTGTGACGTCAGACGACCACCACCGCCACAGGCCGCGTGTGGTCACAGCTTAGCGGGGGCGGCGGAACGGACTACTGCTGACATTTATCTGGTAATGACCGTTTTCGACAGGGAGGCCTTAGTGCCTGGATGGTTGGCATTTGAAATGGAAGTTATAGTTTGGTGCCTTTTGCCCACCTCTAGGTGAATAAATATGACTAAATTGCCCATGAATGGACACTTTGTTATATGTGATCATTATATCAAATGGGTTTAAAGTTTTAAACCTTTTTTCTGCTTACGTTTTAAAGGCCCACAAAGGAAGGTGTACAGCATATTTCTGGTAATGTTATGATATTTTATCATTTTTCTTTGGTAGTATTTTCATACGCAGTGAAGTCAATGTGGCTTTGTCTTCAATGCACACCATAGTCTGAAAATTTCCTCAGAGCAAACGGCGTCAGTAGTTGCGGGAGCGAGGGAAGCGTCTGGTGGCGACACAGTCAGATAGGGGAGGGTTCGAGATAGCGGCGTATTTTCGCAGACGCCCCGGACCACAGCTGGTGGGTTCCCGTGGCTAGGACCTCTCCAGTTTCGACACGGGAGGACAGATTTGCCGGGCAGCGTGGTGTTAATGGGCGCCGCTGTTTGCCTCGTTTACAGATGTTTCCCAAGTTTAGTTTTGTAAGGGTATTATATTGATTTTCTTAGGTTTTAAATGCATTTGTATTTTATTATGTGTTCAGAATTAGAGTAAGAATCACGACACATTCGACGTTATTGACCACGTACATCAAGTACGCGAGAGCTAGTCATCACTAGTTTTTTGCTTTCTTGCCCGTCGAGTTGACATAACTCATTACTTCACCTGGTTTTTATGCAGGTGGAACGGCGCGTTACGCTGTTTACCTTGCCAATAATCCAGTCATAAACGTATCAGCTGTCTGGTGCCGAACGCGCTGCCAACTCCCGTACAAATATGGCAGCAGGAGCGCCGAGCAGCAGAGGTACCGGGGCGTCGGTAAAAACGCCCCGGGCGCCGCTCTAATGGGGCTCTGCTCACTGCTGGCCCACCTGCCCCCTGCGGCAGACAGCTGACTCGAGTTGAACGCCCTGTGGGCACCGGCTCCCCGGAAAATCGCGAGCTTCCGACTCCACACTCCCAGTCTGCATAGCCATGGCGAGGGCGGCTCGGCGCGATATTAAAAAAAAACGGTATCACCGCAACTTTCGAGAGGAATCGAACACTTGAATGTATTTAAAGAAATGCTGGAAATATCGCTTTGGGGTACTGAAAATTTTAGCTGTCTGGCCAGAAACAAATCGGTTCTTTCTTGCATGCATCTGTTGGCCGAGCCTTGCGAAAACACTTGTTATGAACCACAACAACGACTATCTAAACTAACCCTAAGGGCAAGTCTGGAGTTCATTCAATTGTCTCCGCTGGAGTCCATAAGTCTCCGGTGCTTTCCCCAAGGGTCCCTATTTTCCGAGATTATAAAATTCCCAATTTGCCATCGCGCTGATCGGTGACCTCAGGGTTCAGGTAGCGGTCAGCTGCTGAGTTTTCGGTCACTGCCGGCGCGGCGCGGCGGGCACCGTTTTGGCGCGCCCTTCCGGCGCCCCGCTCACCGGCTATCACGCCGCATCTTCCGGCGCAGCCCCGCATTTAATTACCCCCTCCCCTCTCCCGCCCCGCCAGCCGGCGCGACCGGCGAGCCGCCCGTGCCGGTGCGGGTCCGGGGGACAGGCCAGATGGGCGCGCACCGGCCGTCCCAAACGCGCGCACCCCGCGCGGGCCGGCTCCCGCCGAGCGCAGACAGCTGAGCGGGCGTCCTCCCCTCCCTCCCCTCCCCTCCCCTCCCCTCCCTCCCCTCCCCTCCCCTCCCCTCCCCCCAGCCACGTGCAGTGGGGCCGCGCGGCGTGCGCTAAATACGCGGCTCCGCGTTTAGTGGTGAGTGAGGGATAGGGCAGGGTGGCAGGATGGGAGCTGATGTTTAAACAGATGGGAATGAGTTTGCGCACCACAGGTGTTATGTTTGAAATTTACCGTTTCGGGCAATGACTGCTGCCGAAGGGGGTGATCGCTGCCTCGATTAGGCAAGTTAAAATGAGTTGTTAAATGTGTAGTTTAACGGTAATGACTTCCGCTCTACCTGAGCGTGACACTGCCAAAATATTACAAACCGTTTCATCCTGCAGTTGTTTTTGACGAGTTCGTTCTTGCGAAGCTGACGAAGTTGAAAATAATTTCCGTGCCGTCTTATTTTTCACAAAGCAATTAAGTATGCGACAGAAATAAAGCCTTCAGCATCTATCAAAATTTCGCCACACATTCCCATTTTGACCTCAGAGCCTCCGAGGTCAGATACCACGATCAGCATTCAGCCAGTCAGCTGTGCTGAGCAGCGCTGGGGACAGTATTAGCCAGACAAGGACTCCCCCTCCCCGATCCCCGTCTGTCCCTTCCGCGGTGGCGCCTCTACAGTCGGCCGGCCAGAGGAGACCCCAGAGGTGGGCCCCGGGCCCTATGCAGCTGTTGTATACGTTGGCCGCCTTTCCGTGTGTGGGAGGGCTTTATTCTGGATCCAGACGGGTTGTGGGGCGCTTTATTCCGGATAGACGCGGGCTCCGCTGGGTTAAAGAGCATTGGATGGTTGTTGTTCTCACTTGACCTGCTGTATCTGTTCCTCTTC